TTTTTTTGATTTATTGTAGAGATGAAGTCTCGCTGCCCAGGAGGGTCTCGAACCCGCGGGTTCAGGCAGTCCACTCACCTCAGCCTCCCAAAGGCGAGGGATTACAGGTTGAGCCACCGAGCCCGGATAAGATCTGCCTTTTTTAAACCTAACTTTGAAACAGCATAATTTTCCCTGAGATTACAAAATCACCACAAATGTACAGTGATTTTTATGTCTATAATAAACTACAGCTAAAAGATGTATTATAATTTATCTAAACACTTCATCTCTCTATTGTTGGGCATGTAATTAATTTATAATATTTTACCTTTATAAATAATAATTCTATGAAAATTTTATATATAAAGCTTTTCCAGTATAGCTTGTTATTTCATTAGGATTTCAAGAAGTTGAATTAGTGAGACAAAGGATGTAAGTATATTAAGAATACTAATACAGGTGGAGTTAGTGATTCCTTAAAGGTGATAAATCAAATTGTTACCTTAAACAGAAGAAGAAGAATGTTGCCTTTTTGTAATTTGAGAAATGGTACTAAAGATAAAAGTATGAGAAGAAATTAGTTACGACATGGCTGTGAAGAAAGTTGAGGAGAGTGGTTTAGAAGAATCAACAAAAGCATATCTTTTTTAAAGGATTTATCTAAGAATGGCAAGTATGTGAGCTAGAGTCCTGACAGAGAACAAATGGCACGTGCTAACTTCTAATTTGAAGAGATGTTTAATAAGAAGATGCTTGTAGAATTTTAGGCAAAATTTAAGAAACCCAGCAAGAGCTAATGCAGCAGTACCCTAGTGAGAATGATAGTTGGGAGCTGCTGCTACTATTGAATGGACAATATGAAGAAGTCATTCCTAGAACTTCAAGAGAGTAGTTACACATGTGAGACTATGAAACAGGGAAGGAAGGAGGTAGTATGTCTTCAGCATTTACAGGTGTACTTCAAGGAGTTCAGTCAAGTATTTCAGTTTGTTCTTTACTGTCTCGACTGGAGGTGTGCTTCTAAAGAAGAATCCACTATCATTCTGCTAGCACCATGTGACAATTGTCTTCTTGTTATATTACTAATGAATTTGGAATAATGGAAATGATTACTCCTCCCATTCCACTGTTACTCAGACGTTCATGTACTAACCATTTTAATGAAAGTCTTTGTTCCATTTGTTTTGTTTTTCCAGCAATGACATTGTTCCCAGTGTTACTATTCCTGGCTGCTGGGTTGATTCCATCCTTTCCTGCAAATGGAAGGAAGGTACTGTTGAGGTTGGAAATCTTCAGAAAAATTCAGGCAACCATGAGGGGTAGCAAGCTACTAGGTCAATATTCAAAAGTAAAAAGGGCTAGGGTGTCTAGTACATCATAAAATGCTCATAAGCTGCTCAAGATAGCATAATTATGTTTAAAACTGTGGTGACCAATATGGTAGCCCCTAGCCACATGACAATAGTAGACACTGGATATATGGTCAGTTGAAATTAAGATGGATACACATTTGTAATATGTAGCATACTTCAAAGACTTAGTGAAAAATACAGCACTAAAATAGAAACAAAAACACCTAAGTCTGATTTTGTACCTTACCAGTTATATTTCTGTTCATAATAAGACAAAGTCAGCAGTAGTTCATTAATTGAATGACTTTGCTCCCCCAAATGTTTCAAATGCGGTAATATTATCGTTTGAGTGACCCTATAAAATATGCTACGCAATACAAAAAACTATTTTACTAGATTACTGAATGCACACATGCACTTGGACTGAGCCTAAGCATTTGTTCTTTAAATACCAAATACAGACGTTCCCACCCCGCCCCCCAAGTTTTGGATGAATCATATACCCTGACTCTTAACCACTCCTTTGCTGCAGCCTAACTGGGTATGAATGTCTTAATGGTTCCTATCATGTACCTTTGTCATTATAAGATGTTATAACTCATGTGCCTAGAAAAAACACATTAAGACTTCTCTTATTACATAAATTGGCTTTTGTAGACTCAGGAGAATTTTTGGTTTGTCATGCCCTGAATTATATCCCATTCTCAAAACCCCACTACTTTTCTATTAAAAAGTCATAGTTTTGGCTTAGAGTTATTGGCAATGCTTATTAACTAATATTGGCTTGAATTGAACATTTTTAAAAAATAGTCTTTGCTCCTTTGAACTAACTTGTATACTATTATTTATACTTTAAAAACATTAATAAATAAATAATTCATCTTATTTTTTTTAGAATCCAGCTTTTACCTCTTTGTTAACCAACCAAATACATGTGCAAAGGGAGATTGTAAATAAACACAATGAACTAAGGAAAACAGTTTCTCCGTCTGCCAGAAACATGCTAAAGATGGTAAGAGGCAGTCAAGTAAGGAAAGGACTGTGGACCAGTTGTGCAAGAAGTGGGTAGCTGGCCACTGGCATCTCTTAAGAACTTTGTGGTTTACAAACTTTTGTCTCTATTTTGCTATTTCATTTGAATTGTGTTATGGGCAGGACAGAATTTCTCATTATACTTTTATAATAGTTAAATACCTTTTTGTGTTTGTAGGGCTATTTAAGTTATGGAGGCAAAATTAAAACCAAATCTTTGGACATCTAGTGAAAGATCATCATGTTTTTCTTCTCACTAATCTATTGCTAGTTATCTAGAATCAAGAAGAATCTTTTCCTTTTAAGGTCAATGTCATTTATGGTAAATAACATTCCTCTTTTCTGGACCCAGTACAAAAGATTGCATGTCTCTCAAATGTATTGAGAAAAAAAAAAAAGAAGAAGAAAGAAACTGGAAATGAAGTAAGCCAGCTAATTACTATTAGAAAAATAATCTCAATTCATCCACATGCTTATAAATATTTAGAGTAGGAGTATTACTCAAAATCTTCAGGTATTTCTACTTTGCTATTATAAATTATTAGACCATAAACTATCTTAAAATTTTCAATTACTTAGGGTAGATATATTATCTATACTTTTTTGTGGAGAAAAAAAGGGTGCATCAAAACTATATCTTCAATTACTATGAAAATTAGAAGGTGCCTGTACAAAAATTTTATAATGATGTAAATCAACCCATGAACTTGATTATACAGCTTGTGCTTCTTTAAGGTTTGAGTTATTACATGGATTTTTTTTTTCCCCTCTCTCATTTTAGGAATGGAGCAATGCATCTGCAGTAAATGCTCAAAAGTGGGCAAACCAATGCACATATGAACATAGTGACTCAGAGGAACGAGTAACCAGTATGTAAATTAATAAACATGTGTTGAATAAATGAATGAGTAAAGTAATAAGGAACCATTTTTTGATGCTGCATTAGGAAAAAGTTATAAATAAATATTGCTTCTAATGTTGTCTTTTTCAAGTTAAAATATCTCTATATGTATAGATGACACTAACCACCTTGTACTTATCTAGTATTTTTATTGTACAAAACCTATCTCACACAGTATCACATTTGTACCTGTCAACCAGCTCATAAATAAAGCAGGTCATTGATCATCTCTTTTCCTATTTTAAAGATAAAAAAACAACTTTCCAGAGGAAAATGTTAACTAGTATTATATAAAGAAAATTTAAAATGAGAATTTCTGATTGTTAAGTAACAAACATAGCCTTTTTGTCTTTTTAAAACTACTTATTTTTTTTTAAGATGTGGGGTACAATTCAGGGTTAGGTATACAAATGTTCATTATGCAGTTACCCTTGTTGATGAGATGTGCCCCTCCTTCCCCTGGCAGTTTCCCTCATCTGCCAATACCACACCCCCTCCCCTGGCAGTTTCTCACTACTGCCAATCTCTGTCTTATAGTATTACATTAATTGTTCAAGGTCCGGTTATGAGTGAGAACATATGGTACTCTGTTCTTTGTTTCTGTGCTAGATCACAGAAACAAAGAACAGAGTATCATATGTTGCTGTGAAGTCGATATGTTTGCCCTTCTTTATGGTTGCATAATATTCCATTGTGTATATGTACCACATTTTTATATCTAGTCCAGCTTCAATAGACAGCATAGTTGGTTCCATGTTTTTGCTATTGTGAATAGAGCTGCAACAAACATGTGTGTGCAGGTATCTTTATTTTTCATGTACAAAATACAGTAAATTTTGTCAAACTGTTCCTGAATTTTACTTTAAAATATTTAATATTACTGTTTATTTTTAATATTTCCCTTTAATTTTTGATGACAATAAGCCAAGTCTTTTATATATCCTGAATACCTACAATGTATACTGTGTTAGACTAAAAAATAACCTATGAGACATGATTTATACATTAAGAAACATAAAAACAATGAGATAAAACATTATATGGATAAACCATTGGATGAAATATTTACTGAATTGTCAAAATGACCATAGATAAAGGCAAGCCCAGTTTGAAAGTAGTAAATAGCTGGCCTGTTCTGAAGATAGGACTGCCATTGTTATTTATATGTTTGATGCTATAACTATAATAAAATTATGAAAAGAAGTGACTATAGTTAGCAGAAGGTGGAAATGATTTTAAAGATCACAATTTACTGCTAAAATCTTAGTTACTTTCTTTCTCTTTTAAAGGAGCTTTCCAAGAGTGGTTTACACTCTTTCTAAGCAGCATGTAGACATTACATTTTAAACCATCCCAATATAAGTATTAATTGCAGGGCTTGAATTGAGTATTAAAATAGGTATTGAAATGTTTCTTGGATGCAAGACATTTTTTTCCTAATTCTTTGAGGAGAGTTTTTCCTCTGATGCTGTATTTGCTCACTAAGGGAAAACCTATAAACTTTGAAAATATTGCCTTTTATGGTATCATTTTTTTCATGTTTAAGGCTCCTAAAGATTGAATATAAGATTTTTTTAAAGTTCACACAAAATAATTCTGAACATGCATTAAGATTCTTTTATAAGAAAATTACTGGTGAATATGATCTACAGAAGGAGAGAAATTACATCGGGTCTTAGCCTTCAGCAAGTTTACAATATAACGCTGAGAGTACATGAGGCACATACATGTGAATAGCTCAGTGTATAAATTAATGAGTCCAGAAAGATCAGGTACTAGAGATAAAGGATGTCTCCATCTAATCTGTTTTGCATGTTGAGGTCAGCCTTAGTGTGTTGGCCTCAATGTGTTGGAACTGATAAGGATTCTGAGGTGCCTACCTTATATCTCAATCAATAGTTAGTAACTATGATATAGTGATTAAAGAGCAAGGACTCTGGGGTGTGTGTGTGTGTGTGTGTGTGTGTGTGTGTGTGTGTGTGTGTGTGTGTGTGTGATCATTGCATGCTTTATTGCTTTCTTTATGAGCGTTCTGTTTCTTCTTAGGTCTAAGCTGTGGCGAAAACCTCTATATGTCAAGTAACCCCAATTCATGGTCACAAGCAATACAAAGCTGGTATGATGAGAACTATGATTTTGTCTTTGGTGTAGGGCCAAAGTCTTCCGATGCAAAGGTTGGACATTATACTCAGGTAAGAACAAGCAAGAAATGAAAAACAGTCTGTCATGGGTGCCAAAAACAAAAGTCTCCAAATTTTGACTAATTCCAACATTAACTTTAGGGGAAGATCTCAAGTGAATACAGAATAGCCTGGCATTTGGCAGGTATTTAGACTGTGAACTGTCATTTTCAATAGAAACATTCATTTTTCTAACAGTCTAAATGGATAAAGTAGTGAATGTACCTGAAAATATAATATTTTTAAATGTTTTAGTTTGATTCAATAATTTGACTAAATATATCCATAAGCCATATGAAAAAGTACATCAGGAACATTCTTTTCCATATTGCATTTCCTACTGTGTGCTTCTTAATATATATATATATATATATATATTTTTTGTTGTTGTTGTTGTTGTTGTTGTTTTTAGTTGGAGTCTCACTCTGTTGCCCAGACTGGAGTGCAGTTGCACGCTCCCAGTCACCTCAGCCTTGACCTGCTGGGCTCCGGCGATCCTTCCGCCTCAGCCTTCCAAGTAGCTGGAACTACAGGCATACGCTACCACGCCTGGCTAATTTTTTGATTGATTGTAGAGATGAGGTCTCGCCAAGTTCCCCAGGCGGGTCTTGAACCCGCAGGCTCAGGCAATCCACTCACCTCGGCCTCCCAAAGCACGGGATTACAGGCTGAGCCACTGAGCCCGGCTGTTTTTTAATATTTTATTCTTCTCAGTTATACTCATATCTTTGCTTATGGGTTTATAGGTTGCTTGGTACTCATCTCACCTCATTGGATGTGGAATTGCCTACTGTCCTAGTGAATTGATTCTAAAATACTACTATGTTTGCCACTATTGTCCTGCGTAAGTATACAGTTTTGAGTTCATTGTTGATAATGCCAAATACAGTTAATATGTTTAAATTATCACATAAAAACAGACTAAAAAGCATATTTCAGCAAAGGGCAGGACACAAATATTTTTTAAAGTGTTCTAAAGCTGAGATGCCTTCAATCAACTTCTCAGAAAGACCAAGTTTTTCAGTTTCAGTTCCAAGTATTATTATTATTATTCCGAGTATTATTATTTCTCATGCCTGAAATTACTTTTCTTCTCCTTCAATTACCTTTTCCTAGACTCAGGGTTATTTCATGAGTATATATAGTATCTATTTCTCTTGTTTAGTATTATTATTTCTTGCTAAGTTTATGCACTAGAAAGTAAAACTTGTTAGTTAGGCCAGGGGTGAAAGTGAGATAACAAACAAATAGGGAATGCCACATTTCAGTGAATCCAGCCCTTTCTTCTCAAATGTTCTTACTCCTGCGTTACTAAAAATGCCACTTTTTTAATGCCATTAAGAAATGATTAAATCAATAGGTCTCAAAGGCTTTTCAAAAGATCCTTAATATATTTCAAATGGTCAAAAGAAGAGAGATAATATCATAAGTCTTTGCTTCTCAGAATTTACCACAAAAATAAACCTAAGAAGGAAACATCATGAAGATCTTGATTTCTGAATGATCTTGGATTTTCTGCGAGAAACCCACCCCTTCTTCAATCACTGTGTTTACGCTACTCACAAGAAAATCCTGTAGCTATACTGAAGATAAAAAACATTGTGTTAGTTTTAATTTCTTTTTAATATTTGAAATGATTCTCCACTAGAGGGAGAGTTTTTCCTCCAAACCAAGCTTTCTGCGTGATTTATTTTGAGGCTGTAGATAACCCAGATGATGTAAAATTCCAGTTTAACAAGTATGATCTTTAAAGTCATTTTTCAGCAAGAATCTGTTAGTGTTCACAGAGAAAACTGAAGGGCCATAGGAGACTACATCCAAAGGCCTGATCATGAGCAGAGGGCATCTGGAGCCGGCATCTGAAGTGCGAGTAAGAATTAATAATGAAAGAAAGCAAGGGAAAGAAAACTTCCAGCATACTTTCATAGCTATTTCACAATTTTTCCAAGTGCTCACACACATAGAGCTATATTATATGTGGGGAGGCTGAGACTCAGCCACACTGCCTTGAAACTTTGACCCATTTGATGCACTTGAGCTTGATCCCTGATGTTATTCAATGATAATGACCAATAGGATAATAATCATCAATGAAGTATACTAGTCGTAAGATCAACACACTCTGGAGATTGGTGCTGACAAAAACTTTTTTTCTAACATTCTCATTTTTGGATAAACATAAAAATCTCACACATACCACCTATAAACATTCCCAAGCCTTTCTAAGCACAGCCCACTTTCACAAATATACGTGAAACCCTGTATGAAAATCACCACTCCATCTAGAAGCCAAATATTATGAAGAAACTCTACTCATCCTAGTTCATATTATAGAAATTATGGGATTTTTTTCCATAAAAAATTAAATAGTATTTTCTATATTGCAAACTGCTGTGTCCCAGGAACTTTTCCTGTCTCTCCAGAGGAAATGTTTTTACCTTGTGGAATACTATCTTAGCAATTTCACCAAATCTATTGGGAGATGAAGAGGGTGTTGTCACACTGAAATATACTCTAAAATCTTTAGACTTTAGTTATCCTATTTCCACTGATCAGGCTCTGAGGTTACAGTCAAGAATATGAGTGAATGTGAGAATTATTCTCTTACTTGGCATTGCTGTCTGAATATACTTTGTGAGTGTTATATTTTTATTTATTGGACAATTTAAATATTTAATAAATACTTATGTATATTTGGTGACTGATGCTAATGTCAGAGCATAAACTAAGCAGAAAAGTAAGAAATAGTTGACATTTTGTATTTCAAATTTCAGTGGCAATATTGTTGATAGACGATATACCCCTTACGAACAAGGAGTACCTTGTGCCAGTTGCCCTAACAACTGTGAAGGCGGATTATGCAGTAAGTTTGAAATTATTAACTTGCTAGTACAATCAAATGACCAGATATTTCTTTTTAAGAATTAGGAAACCTTCTGAAGGTAACTAATTTAAGCAACACTTTAATGAAAAAGACAAAAAAAGAAGTACTTAGACTGGACTCAGTGGCTCAGCCTGTAATCCCAGTACTTTGGGAGGCTGAGGCGAGTGGATTGCCTGAGCCTGCATGTCCAAGAGCAGCCCGGGCAACTTGGCGAGACCTCGTCTCTACAATTAAAAAAAAAAAATTAGCTGGGAGTGATAGCACACACCTGTAGTTCCAGCTGGCAGAAGGATCGCCGAAGGCCAGCAGGTCGAAGCTGGGGTGGCCGTGAGTGTGCCACTGCCCTCCAGCCTGGGCGACAGAGTGAGACTCCAACTCAAGAAAAAAAGAAAAAAGAAGTACTTAATAGAGGGTATTTAAGTAAAAATTTTGCAGTGTTTAGTATCTATGTATTATTAGCAATGTCAAATTTGTCCCGCTTTTATATGTAACCTAAATAAACATCTGCCATCGATGTTACATATTAACATATATAAAAATCTTTCTATGGAAATAATTCATATATATAATTAATGTAATTCATTATGAAGTTAACACACAACTAAATATAAAGTTTCTTTTCATCAAAGTTAATGTAATTGTACTAACTGTGGCAGTTTTTTTTTTTAAAGAAAACAAATATATATCTCAGGATATGAGACCATATAATATGACCTAGGCCAGACAGGGACACCAAATATTGCATTTTCTCATATGCTACTGAGTTTACAATACCAAATTCCTCATTTTCACCATAGTGTAGTTAGAATCATCAAGTTTAGTTTATATAGTTTATACTCACTTCTGTTTTTAATAATGTTTATACATTTTTTAAAGTCAAAATCAAATCTGAATATAGTATTAGCTAACAGAAGTCTGAAAAATATTTTAGCAAAGAGAAGAAGCAAAATAAATATAATATACTACCCCATTTCCTATGATGTTATGAATAAAGTACAAATAATGCGTATTTTTGTTTAACAGATATGCAATTAAAATTATTGTCAACAATACAGTTGACCTATTCACTAAGATTTTTACCTTTCAAATGCATTTGCCTGGCTAGATTGCAGCATTTTTTTCTAACTGAAATGTATAGCAATAATTCAGAATATTGATAATAATTAAAGCTATAAATCAACTAAACCAGAAAAAGCCAAATATTCACAGTTCTGCTGAATGCTATTTTCTAAGGAGCTGGGAATTTAGCTTAATAGGATACTAATAGTAACAAGCAACCAATTCAATGATATTAAACAGAAGAGTGATAAGATCTGAAATGTGTTTTATACAGAGCTCCTGACAGTAGAAAGAAACAATTGGATGAAAATCAGCTAGGAGACTGTTGAAAAGTATTCAATCAAAAACAAATGAGTACCTTTACTGCATTAGGGCAAAATGAATGAAAATAAATAGATGCATATGAGAAATAGAAAGAAAGTAGAATAGTCAATTTTTGTTACCTGGTCTTGTTGAGTACTGATAAAAAATAGAGAAAAATAAGTTCTAGATTACTACTTTCTGGTTTGAATTATTTAGTAGCTGGGAGTGCCATTTTTCTGAGACTGGATAAATTGAATAAAGGGTTGTAGCGGAATTTCTAAAAAATGCCAAGCTTGTAGATAAAATGGTGAATTTATTTTGAGATTTATTGGGTTTATTGTCACTAAAGGACATCCAAGTAGAAAATTTCCTCTTTTACATTTTTACATCTGTATCTTCCTATGTTACTTACTCCTGAAAAAAAGAAAGACCAATGACATTAGAGTCTAGAGGCTAACGGCACTGTGTCTAATATCACTCTACACAATTATAGAAATGTTCAATATTTTTACTGTCCTATAAAGTAGCCCTTAGACACATTGGTTATTGCCCATTTACATGTAACTGGTGTTGCTGAAGAAGAACCTGAAGTTTTAATTTTAATTAATGTGATTTAAGTTTAATCCACATCACTAGTGACTACCATCTTGGATAATGCAGTTCTAGGGAGATTCATTTAAATTAGTTTACTCTGCTCACTCTTTGAGTGAGGAAAGTATGTTAATTCATCTTGGAAATATTTCCAAAACCTCAAACTAAAAAAATAATCCATGGATTAATCAGAGTGTTTACCCAAGAGGCCTTATGTGCCCTTCAAGATATAAAATGGTCTTCATAGCATAGTGATGCCTACTTGTCCTCAATTCCCTAATACCCATTCACATTGAATGTAGTGTGTGTGATGCTGCTGTAGAAGAAGTAATAATGAAGTGATCAATTTCTTTGTTTTTATTGCAGCCAACAGTTGCAAGTACCAAAATGAGTATAGTAACTGTGAAGATTTGAAGAAACAAGTTACCTGTAAACATGAAACGGTCAAGAACGATTGCAAAGCCTCTTGCAATTGTGAAAACAAAATTTATTAAATGCCCACTACATACTGAGCAGGGATCTACATCATCTACTTAGCTTTGGCGTCTACTTGTCTACTTAGATTTAACATATACTAATACTAATCAAGAATCTGTAGGTATTTTAACTACAAATGTAAATCCAAACAGTAATAAATCTTTTTCTCCTGGATCTGCTTTTTATCTTATAGAAATCTCATTTATACAAAGGGTTAAACAAAATCTATAACAATCTATAAACAAATTTGGATTTTTATATATAAATTTTGTTATTTAAGTTAACTGAGTTTTATTAACAGAGGATTATGAAAGTTGTATTCTCATATGACTAAGTTCACTAAAATCCTGGATTGAAAGTGAAAATCATGTTTCTAGAACAAAATCTACAAAAATCACAGAGTGTAGTATCATGGCCACATGAATCCTGGGTTACAGTTGTTTTTCCTAGCTCTACTCTGTAGCTAAATATCTTCAAATTGTCTCACATGCTGTCTTAATACCTTTTTGCCCGTTTACCCATCTTCCCACTCATCTGGCTCCCAACCTTACAATTAAGTTTAAACGTGTGCTTCCAAAAGTAACCTTGACTTTTATTTTGCCCAAATCAATAATAATTTTGATTCTTTACCTGCACAAATTTTACAGTAGAATATGATCACATCTTCATTTTTAAAAATTTTCCTCAAAAAATAATTTAAAACAATATATGTAAATACTCTCCCCTCAAGGAAGCAGAACATGGCTCCCTCCCTTGTAAGTCGTCACTGAATTTAGTGACTCACTTCCAAAGAGTAGAGTATGGAAAGAGAAAAATACTAACTTCACAGTGGAGAAAAATAGTAATTGCCATCTTAACCAAGTGATCAAAATTAACATCAGTGGTAACTCATATGGGTTCATATACCTCAACGTGTATGTATTCTTTATAAAAACCCATAATTCCAGTCTAAACATGAACTAAAACATCCTGCCATTCCAATTTGAGGGAAATTCTACAAACTATTTCTGAGGTATTTAAGAGTACTCCTCAAAACTGTAAAAATCATAAAAAATAAGGGAATTCTGAGAAACCATCACAGACCACATGAGACTATGGAGACCTGAGAAGCAAATGCAATGTGGTAGCTAGGATCAGGTCTTGGAACAGAAAAAGATCACTAATGGAAAAATTAGTGAAATCTAAATAGAATCTGAATCTTTTTAACAGTAGCATTGATTTTTTTTTAATCTTGACAAGTGTTCCAGGGTAATGTCAGATGATAGTATTAGGGAAACTGAAACTGAGAGAGGAGCATATGGGAATTATCTGTACTATCTTAGCACATTTTCTGAAAATCTAAAAAGTACTCCAAAATTAAAATTGTATTTTTAAAAAGCCAAACCAATAATTTTTTTTTTCTTGACTCCATGACACTTCACACTTTTTCTCCAGGTTATTCTTTCCTAAAATTTTAAACTTCAGCTCCTTCATTCCACTGCTAAATGTTTAATTTGTCATCTTTTCATGGACTTTCCAGGTAATATAAATGACTGGACTATCATATCGGACTCACATGTTTAACCGCTGTGAACCTTCACTAATAATTTCAAAGCTCTAAGTAGTCATGAGGCAAAGGAAAACAGGGAGATTCAAGACAATTAATGTAGTTCCCAGATGTTATTTTTGCTCCATCTCAAATCTCTAACTTCTTAATTAGTCTTCATTCAAAATCTTCTCAAGTAATTAGCATAATATTCATCATATTAAACTCCAAGTAGCTGAATGATCTTTTATATACTTTCCTCTCTGATCTCACTTCTTCCACTCTCCCTCATTTCCTATGCTCCAGAACAATGAACCCATTAAATTATCTCAAGCTGCTCACAAGCTTTTTTATGTTAGGACCTTTGGGTTTGCTATAGGTTCTGTTTGGAAGAGTTGTCCCTCTATTGCTTACTACAATTGCTACTTCTCATTAAACATCATTTCTTCCAAGAGATTCATTTGAGGAAATAATCTAGAGAAGTTCCCCACATCTCATTCTCTCTAGTGGTTCCCTGTAGTTCAACTCATAGTGATCGTCTCATAGAAATCATCACAACGTGTAGTAATTCATTCCTGCATTTGATAAATATATATTTTTTGTGAGAAAGCAGGATTTATTGAGAGGACAAAAAAGCTCCCACAGTGGGAGGGAACCTGAAGGGGTTTCCCCTGATAAGTCTTTATTAAAGACAACTAAGTCTCAGACACTTTGAAGTAGAGCAATTAACAAGACAGAACAAATTCTGAACCTCATGGAGTTCTCACTCTAGTAGAGAAGAGAGAAAGAAAACTACTTTGTGAATGAAATACTAAATATAAAAGCAGGATGTGATAAATGCTATGAACTAAAATTGGCAATAGGATAAAGAAAAATGGGCATAGACTGGGAGGGGGAAATGCTAGGTTAAATCAGATTAGAAGGTAAATCATCTCTAAAGTGCTGAATGCTATTTGCTATGAAGTTTGGAATCTATTCTCTTGGCAATGAGCACCAATCAAAAGACTTTCAAACAGAAGACTGGCAAGATGCAAATTGTGTCGTTTGGAACAAGATCACAATAGAAGTGATAGAATAGTCAATTCAGGGATTTGATGGAAAAGATTTTCAGGAAAGAATAGGTATTGCAGTAAATGAACTTGACATATTTGAGGAAAGGCAAATAGCCCAGAATAGCTGGCGCAAATAGAACAAGTAAAGAAGATATTACAAAGAGTTAAGAGAGTTATGCCCTCCAAGATAGGTAAAGAATTGGGATATTATTATAAGTAAGGTGGCATGTCATCTGATTGTTTTAAAGAGGAAAGCAATATGATGAGATCTATAATGTAACAGGACAAAAGTGGAAGCAAGTAGAGGCAATTCACTAGAGGAGAGATAAAGTTAAATTGTACTAGATTATAGATATATAGTATTATGTATATATAATATCCAGTATGAATATTATCCACTTTAATGGAGGCTCTGAGGTTTAATTTCTATTTTAATATATTTTTATTCATATTATGACAAAAAGCAAGGTAACTATTTCTCAACTCAGGCTAGTATTCCCCTATGCCACTGCCAAAGACACCATAAGAGACAAAAAAAAAAAAAAAACAACCCTACAGACTATTACTCCTCATGAACATACATACATGGAACACATAAAAAAGGATTATACAGTCAAGGAATTATACAGACAAAGTAAGGTTATCTCAGGGAAAAAAAGTTATTATAACATAGAAAACTCTATTAATGTGATACATCATATTAATAAAATAAAGATATCATATCAGTGTTTCAAAAGATGCAAAAAATGCACTGGACAAAATTCAACACCACTTAACTAAAAATAATTTTCAGAAAACTGGGAATAGAAAGTAACTTCCTCACTCCAATTTTGGAGCATCTATAAAATCAGTCTCTGAGCTAATCTTATACTTAATATTGAATGACAGGATGTTTCCCCGTTTTATTTCTTCATAGGTGAAAACACTAAGGCAATACTTTCAGTCTGTAATTCATCATTAGGAGTCAGGCAAGAATGTCAATTTGCAATACTTCTCTTCACATTTTAAGTTACAGCCAGTGCAATAAATAGAGAAAAAAAATTAAAGATACAGACATTAAAAAGGTAGAAACTGTCTTAATTTGCAAATTAAAATGATTTTGTTGTAGAAAATCCAAAGGAATCTACAAGAACAACTATTATAACCAAAAGTAACCTCAATTGTTTGCTGCTCAAAGCCAAGAGTTAGTTGGTGAAAGGAAAGTAATTTTATTCTAAAAGCCTCCAGATGGGGAAATGGCCTGTATCCTGTCTCCAACTAGCCATTTTGAGGTTTCAGATTGATCAGAGGGTCTTTAAATGAAAAGGGGGCTCGGGGAAAAAACTGCATGCAGTAGTTGAGAAGCATCTTTGTCCTTGGTCAGGTCACTGTGGTTTTTAAAACATTTAACAAAACAGTGTTCATATCCCTCTTTTCCCCAGAGTTAGTCTCAACAGATGCATACTTGTCTCTGTGTTATCTTTTTCGTGTTTTAAAATTATTCTAGCCTACTTGCAAGTGTAACAGAGGACAGTGCCCAACCCATTCCTGCACAATTTAGTCTAAAATGGAGGTAGTTATGTTAGTCTTTTGCCATTGCACTGTTACACTAATAGAATTAATAGGCAAGTTTAGCGCGGTCACATGATTATTAAGAAGTAGGGTATCTTACCTGTAGAGGATTAGGATAAGAATTACAGTGGACTTCTCTTTAGAAACCATGCAAGCAAAAAGAGAATGGAGTGAAATACTTAATGTGATGAAAGTTTAAAAAAATGAAGATAATGAAGAAGAAGATCAGAGAATTACTGCTATATACCAGGGCAGGGACAACAAATATAGAATAGAACTGACTTAAAGATTTGTGACACAGAACATGAATTTTTCTTGCTCTATATACTCTCTTGCTCCATATGAAGAGCCAAACCTCTGTCATCACTTTTATTGGTAAGATCTACAATAATGATGATGTACAGCTGAAACTGAACATGAGAAAACAATGATTTCACTGAAAGCTTGGGCTACATTTTTAGGCATTATCTTGGTAAAAAGCCTTCTGATCCAATAGCTTTGGGTGCACAGAAAACAATAATGGCATAAGTAAGAGTATATATCTTTGTGTATACATAGGATATATCTGCAATCATTCACTAGAAGCTGGTGTTGATAATTGCTTTTGGAATTGGAACTAAAAGGCTGGGAAAAAGTGATGTGAGAGACTTTTTAAAAAAATCTTTTATTACTTCAGAATGTGATAATTTATGAATCCTAAATTGAAGATAATGAAATATAACCTCTGAAAGCAAATAGTATTGTTTTTTGAGGTTTTGTTTGCTTTTATTTTTGTTTTAAATTGAGATTACTGTTTGTTGTGCTGAGCTTTTTGGTGAAAGATACCTATCTTTATCAGTATATAGTCTCAGTCCTAAGATATTGCTTCTGTCCCTGTGTAGCTAAGAAAAAGCTAGCCTCTCCTTGAATGCCAGCAAAACTTATCCATAATGAAACATCCAAATTGAAAATTTTCCACTTGATCTAAGAAGGTAAATCATTAACATCACATTTTGCTGTATGATTTGGGTTCAGGGTTTCCAATTACTTTGATTAAAGTATATTGATGAAAAACAGTAAGTATGAAGAGCCTAAGAAACATTTTTTATCTTGGTTTCAACTTAAATATTTGTTTTCAAAGACTTGCCTGTTTTCTTCTCTTGACTGCTTAACTGACTTTTGCTTTTTGTTCTGAAATAATCTTTAGTTTCTTGTATATATCCCCTTGTTCCTTGATGCTGCTTTTTGATTTTTAATCAAGATACATTTCCTTAATCTAAACTTTCCCCCAATTTTCTGTCATTACGACTTTCTAGCTTGGCTATATCAACCCTAGTCTTTCCAAATCACCTCTGTCCTTATTAAAATTCAATCATATTGGTTATTTAGTTTTTCCTTTATATTACTTTACAGATGAAAACACAATTTCAGTACTTTTTTAGTCTGGGATTTCTTTGGACTCTTTTACTCTTTCTCCTTTGGTGAAAATGCTAAAAGTCTTATTATTATTAAAAAATAGGTTAAATTGTGTCTTCATAGCATACATGGGTATTAAACATGGAAATGTATGAGGTTGGTTATCTGGGTCGTTCTATCCTAGTACAGGCTGAGTTTCCCTAATCCAAAAGCCCAATATACAAAATGACCGCAAATCCTAAATTTTTTGAGGGTGAATAGAGATACTGAACTGGTAAGTATAATGCACATATTTTAAAATTTTTAAAAATCCAAAATTCTAAACACGTCTGGTCTCAAGCATTTTGCTTAGGCATTGTCAGCCTGTGTAGTAGTATGATATAACATAATATATAATATGATATTATAGGATATGCTACAACACGACAATTTGCAAGTAAGCAAAAAGATGCTCATAATTTTAAAAGACTGAATCTTTAGCTAGAATAGGATACAATTGCATAAAATTTTGCTCTTCATTGCAGTCACCACACACACAAAATTTGCATTTTTGAAGTCAAAGGAAACACCTGTGGCTGCATCTATTTCAAATTCAAAAACAAAAAGCTTCAGAAAAGTTAGAAGTTTACTTCCCTGGGTCACACAGTTCATTAGTGAACATAGAGATCAGAACTAAGTTCTCCCAAGCCCAGGCGTTTTCAGTATTGCTCCTTTCACCTTAATACACTGCTAACTTTTGATTTTACATAAATATCTAGAAGTACCTGTACTGTTCCTATCAATAATAGAGATGGGCCTATCATGTGTTCTCTAACACATGTAGGCTCAAAACTTACAAGCCTTTTATTCCAGATTTGCCCCTCACACAAAATCCATCAACACTTTTTATAAAATCTCCTCACATCCCATTTTTTGGTCATATTTTTACTGCTACAAAATTAATCTGGAGAATTGCCACCACACCCTTAATTTTCCTGCTTCTAATTTCTCATCTCTGCAAATCACTTTGCACAATGCTATCAAATAGCTTTCATAAAATACTTTTTTGACCATATAATTTCTCAATCCTCAAAAATGTCAATGGAATTACTTTCCCATGTTATACAGAGAACCAAACCTCCTTAGACTTCTACTCAAAGTTTTCCCAACATTTTCAACAGTCTATCGTTCTAACTTGAAAATGCTTTGTGATACAGTGCTTTGTCTGGTTTTGTTCCTTCAACCAAGTACACCAAACACTTTTTTCCTTCTAATCAAGTCATACACATTATTCAAAGACCGTTTAAATGGCAACCTATCATTTTGTTTTAACTCAAATCATATCAACTCACAGAACTCCCAATTACCTTTTATAGTTTTTTTGTTCCATCTACTTAGCACTAAATTATACTATCTGATAGTATTATTTACTTATTCATATGTATGTCCCTCAGTGCTATGAATCTTAGAGGAAAGAGATGGTATGTCTTTTTTCTGTATTTCCTAAAAGTCTAGCTCAGGTCAACATTTATTCACTCAACAAATATTTTCAAACTGCCACTTACAGCATTGATATTTGCTGGGCTTAGGAGACATAGCAATAATAAAGAAAAAGAATAGCCAGCTTCTCAAATACATGCTCACTAGCAATATATGGCACTACAACACAATTGCTCTCATTCTATTATCATGTGATGATGAAAACAAGAAATAATTACAAGTATGGTGTCCCCAAAAATGAAAAATAAGATATTCATAGTAAATGATAGACTACTACAGAGTTAAGAATGAATTGTTTATACTAGAAAATAATGTACTAAGGAATCCTATTTATAAAAAAAGTGAGCAGCTACTCTTATTTTGTGGATATGGGTATTTAAAATATTAAATCATTCACCTAGGCAAAATATGGTAAAAAAAAAAAAAAAAAACAACATGAATATAGAAGTGAATGAGAGATTGGGGGACAAATTTTATAAATATTTATAAAAGCCAAGTGTCAGAAATGAACTTTGACTGAAAGACAAACTATCTAGAATGACTTCTAAATTCCAAATTTTTAGTCAGTGGTGCACAAACTGAAATAAGCAGTAAAGGAGAACTAAAACAAAGTCTTATGTTGATCACTTGAAATTGCTTTGCCAAAAGGAAATGGCACAGAGCAGCAAGAAATGTGATAGTTTATTACATCTGCAGTTGTGCCTGAGTTTCAAGGGTTGGAGAAATTCCAAGCCACTTTTTGCATGGAGTGCAGAGAGCCAGCGGGTGATGGGTGTTAATCCTTGGCTTGACTTGTTTTGATCCAGCCTTCTTCATCAGGTAATAAGCTAATTCATTCCTTTTCATTTTGAAATTATCTAAGCATAGCAGAAAACGCATCCATTGTATATATAGAGAGAGACCTTTAGTGAACTGCAACACATTTTCAACCAATGCCTGGTGTAGCTGCTAAACTTGAAGCCAAACCCCTTGACCGAGACTTCTGGGCATTTTCCTACAGGGGTTGTTCCTTTTACTCTTCTTGAATTTTCTGACCACTAAACTGTTGCCAAGGGAAGACGAGAGGCTAGAACACGAAGTGTTTATGAGTGAACCTGCAAATTGCTGCCGTGATATATGTAACCTTGAGAGCATCGTGGGCACCACACTGGCATTGCACTGCAAACTTCAGCCTCTGTGGACTTTTCCAATTCTCTCTTTAAATTCTGAAGGACATTAATTCAGATGCTCTTGTCTGAAAGAGAGCACCTCCTTTTTTAGCTACCCCGTGAGCATTCTGAATCCTGATATTATCTTCTGATATTATCTTCTTCCTCCTGCTCCTCCTAGTACTGCCCAGGTGTACAAATAAACTTTTAGTTTTCTAGCCAAGTAGTGGTAATGAGGAAAAGAGAACGTCGCTTTTCACGACGGAAAACGTGCAAGATTGTCTCCGAGATCCGGACTGGGGAGTAGTGGGAGGAACCCACTTAGCGAGATGTCATAAAACCCCGTGACATCACCCATATGTGACATCACTCGCACGTAGTGCTTGGGGAGGTTACAGCTGGGGTAGGGAGGCCAGCAGTAGCCAGTCTCTGCTTCGGCCCTGTTACAGGAAGATCTGTGCTCTGGAGCCAAGGTAAATATTAGAGCCAGATTGGAAACTAGAAATGCCAGCGGTGAGGAGGTGGGGTGAAGATAGGGGAAGGAATGATCCATGAGGTGAGGGAGCTTCTGAGCCTTCTTGATGCCTCTTCTGGCATCCCCAGGGCATATTATCTGGTTCAAGGCAGACTGATGGTTCAGTTTTGTTGCTTAGCACCAGTCTATCAAAGACTTTCCACCTGCTCTAATATGAGCCTATTGAAACCCATTGCCTTCTTTAAAGATTAAATCATTCTGTTTATGTAAGACCCACTGAATCATAGCTAAAGTTTGAAAATCACTTCTAAATCTGGTCTTTCAAAAGGTGTGAAATTAATCTAGTTTTTTTATTAATGTTTTGAATATACAGTCACTAGAAACTGTATATAATGATTAGAATGGGGTTATTGACTCTTCTGAACTTGTTGCCATCTATTGGCTTGCAGGATAAAAACCATGAAGAGCCAGGTGTGGTGCCTCACGCCTATAATCCCAGCACTTTGGGAGACTGAGGTGAGAGGATTGCCTGAGACCACGGGTTCGAGACCAGCGTGGGCAACATGGCAAGACCTCATCTCTACAATAATAAATAAAAATTAGCCAGGCGTGGTAGCGTGCACCTGTATTTCCGGCTACTTGGAAGGCTGAAACTGAAAGAAGGATCGAGGCTGTGGTGGCCAGGAGCATCCCACTGCACTCCAGCCTGGGCGACAGAGTGAGACTCCAACTCAAAAAAACAAAATAAAATGAAATTTAATTTAATTTTAAAAAAGATAAAGGTGTAAATTAAAAATCCATGTAGTCAGTGCTCACTGTGTGGGACACTACTTATGAAAGTAATCTTTTTTTTTTTTTTTGAGTTGGAGTCTCACTCTGTCGCCCAGACTGGAGTGCAGTGGCCGCTCCCGGCCACCGCAGCCTCGACCTGCTGGGCTCCGGCGATCCTTCCGCCTCAGCCTTCCGAGTAGCCGGAATTACAGGCGTGCGCTATCACGCCCGGCTGATTTTTTGATTTATTGTAGAGATGAGGTCTCGCTGCCCAGGCGGGTCTCGAACCCGCGGGCTCAGGCAATCCACTCACCTCAGCCTCCCAAAGGCACGGGATTACAGGCTGAGCAACCGAGCCCGGCTAGAAGTATACTTTTTAACATTGAAAAGCAATCTGACCTCAGAAGAAAATTATGGTTTTTAATCATGAGATAAAATACAGTAAATTATTGGGAACAGTACTAAATACTTGCGTCAAGTTTCAAGCTTGTGACAGATTATAGATATCTTTATTTTATATTCTCTGTTTCCCTGTTCTAGGATTATGAAATCATAGACTATGTTCTTCCTGTAGAAACACTGAGAGGACCATGTCATCCTGGTCTTAAAACACAAGAAAGGACACAGTACTTCACCACTAGTAAGTAGCAAGAGTGAAAAAATGGTAGCCAACTTTTCAACTATGTGGGAATGTGGGCTTAAAGGTACAAAATATAATCATAAAGAATAGAGAAGATATTTTTCCTTGAATATGCTTTCACCAAGTGTGCCATTGCTTTCAATGATGCAACAAAGGTGATTATAGTTTAGATGGGCGAGGGTATAGAATAGTAAAATACAGAGAGAAGTATATGGCATCACTATCTATTGAATTCTAGAATGGTAGGTCATCAAATGCAAATACAGTGAGTAACTGAGATATACAAAATCTTCAGGCTCATGTGTATTGCTCTCAATGACCTGATTAGTATACAACAGCCCAGATTTAGATCATTTTTCTAAAGCTAGTCAGAAAGTCTATAATAGAACCAGGCCTTGAACATGTGAATTTCTAATTAGATTTTACTGATTTTTTTTTCTATGACACCTAGAAGGAAAAACAAGTTTCATAAGCACTTCTAAAATTATCAATTCATTCAAACAGTATATATTTATGGAACTATCTCATGAGCTCAGCAAATTGCCAAGCATGGTAAAGGATAATAATACAAGTATTAATAATTACCATGTATTGAGTATTATATGCATAATTTATTTGAGTATTAAATGTTTTACATATATTATGCCTTCCAGTCTACAAAGCAAACCTGTAACAGGATAATCCACATTTTACATAAGAAAAAATTGAAGGTCAGTGTAGATTTCTGAGATGGTGATGGTTTTTAAAGACTGCACTTTTAACCAATAAGCTGCAGGTAGTTGGTAATTAGAAAGTAAAAGTCATAGAAAACAAACCTGGGAAACGTAGTGACACCTCATCTCTAAATAAATTTCTTTTTTTAATTAGCCAGGAGTTCTGGTATGCATCCGTAATCCCAACTACTCAGTAATTTGAGGCAGAAGGATCACTTGAGTCTGAGAGAGAGAGAGAGAGAATATGAATGAGAAGGAGAGTAAGTATAGAAGGTTGAACTATGAGAGTTTCAGCCACAAGACAGGACCTGTAACCTTCTTAGTAATTAATCAGTCTTGGGTAGTCAATCTAGAAATACTAGGCCAAAAAGGCCTCATCCAGACTTTAATGTGCCTAGGAAGAGGAACAGAGTTGTTAGGGCAGGAGGGCATGCTTTATCTCATGTTAAAAGGTATGTAAAAAGCAAATAATGGCAAAATTATTATTCAACACTGGCAATTAAATTTGAGGCTATTGGTATGAAAAGTACCATTTCAGAAACTTGTTGACTTAGATTTACTCGCACAGCTAGAGTTTGCCAAAACAAACATATACTATATATTCTGCTCTGAACTGCTCTCTGCGTTTACTCTTCCTACAGATATAGCAGATATTTCATCCTGCTCTGAGCACCAACAGTAAGTGATAACTCATTTATTTTCATGTGAATATTTTATTATGCTAATCATTTTTATGTTGCCACAAAGTGATATAGTTAATAAATTTATCTATGACTTTTAAAACTTTGATAATTTTTATTGAGAATAATCTCAAGTTAATTTTACTCTTGTAAAGTTAAGAAAAGTTACAGCACTAGAACAAAAATTAATATTAATTTGATACTAATGAATTTTAGATAAATTTTCACATTTATTCTATAAATAATATAATTAATACCCATGTTTGTGATTTCAAAACAAACATAATAGAACTATCTTTAATAGAAAAATGAAAAAGTATGGCTGTTTGGGTACACTGTATTCATATATGCCTCCATAATGAGGATCTCACTACTACTAACAAATACAATTATATATTAATAAAGGAATTATTAAAATAAAAATAGAAGATCTCCATTGTGCTGCAATCATGATTGCTTTTTTTTAATTGAAACTATGTCTCTTTCAATGTGCATTAACTTTGAAGTCATAATTGGATGAAGACTAATTTCTGACATTATCTAAGAACTTACTATTGACATAGGTTAATTAACTCTTAAACCATAATGTTTTCAACTGTTAAATATATATTGTCAAACCCAGTAAGTTGTGAGAGTGAAATTATGCATAATATTCTACCATGAATTGTCAATAAATGTTCATTCCTCTCCCACATCAAGGATAATGAGATACATGGAACCAGTATCAATTATCTACTATTTACAAATCAGTGAAGCCTAAAAATTACCACAGATCAATTGTTTGGGATTATCTTTCTCTCCAAGAATATGAGAGTGCCAGGCCCATGCAAAGAAAACAAATTAAGGCAGCCTTACTTTTATATATAAAGTAAATAATTTACGTGACTAATGGCCAGAAGATGAGTGTTTCCTAAACTAGGTAATCTTGTTGCTTAATCTAAAGGACCTACAATGTTTTGACATATTGAGAATGGACAACATAGGCAAAAAAATGTTGAGTTTGTTTTAAAAAGAAAATGATAGCCAGGCGTGGTGACATGTGTCTGTAGTTCCAGATCCTTGGAAGGTTGAAGAAGAAGGATCACCTAAGCCCAGCAGGTCGAGGCTACAGTGGTCATGAGCGTGCCACTGCACTCCAGCCTGGGCAACAAGAGTGAGACTCCAACTCAAAATAGATAGATAGATAGATAGATAGATAGATAGATAGATAGATAGATAGATAGAAAGTAAAAATATTAAACAACATTTGTACCAAATCATGGATTGAGCAAGCCATATTTTCAATACATTAATTTTATCTGTATTTTTTCCATGTAAGGAAATTAGAAAATATATTCAAGTGTAAGAAAGAAAATAACTTTCAATTATTCTGTTAAATAAATAACTACTAATAAAATGTTATGTCTGTGTAATCACAACCTTGAAATCTCAATTAGGGTCTGGTGTTCACAAAAGGAAAAACAGTTCTACTTTTCATAGAGAATAGCAAATCAAGAGCTGGTGCACATTGAAAATAAACTTCCCCTCCAAAACTGAAATGAATAATGAATGCTAGTACCATAATTAACTATGAAGGAATCTATTTTCTCCACATTTTCTTTTTGATGAGTATGGGCCACAGAACTAGACAGACAGATAATCCCTAGTCTCTATTAAAGCATCAGTCAAGTTCTTCAGCTTATTTTTTTATCATCCCTATCAGAGGCAAGATTGACTATATGATGATTCTACTGTTACCATAGGGCAATTCTCTTTTTACATTATTATTGAATTTGGAGATCATAGTATCTTTTAGATAACCAAGATCATCACAATGGCTTTCTCCCTCTTAAAGTAGTTCTCGTATTACTTATTTCAACACTGACTTTTGTTTCCTTTGACTTAGTTTTCAACAATGGCTTTATTACCGGTGGTGTTGTTTCTGGTGTCTGTACTGCTTCCATCTTTACCCACTGAAGGAAAGGTAAAGTTAAAATGGAAAATCTTTTCAGAGTTATCTAGCAACCTTGTGGAATAGCAAGTTACTTCCAGATTGGAAGGGGCAAGAGTATCTGGGATGTCAGAGTTCTCACTGGTGGTTCAGAGCACTTAATGTGATTACTGAGAAGAAAGACCAAGGCCATGCAATATGTATATGTATGTTTATAGCAGCCATCAGTCACATGTGGTTACTGAGCACTTGAAATGAGACTTAAATGGGAAGATGTCTTGCAAGTGTGGGATTTCAAAGATTTAGAATAAAGTAGAAAAGATCTCATTAATTTTTTATATTGAATCCATGATGAAATGATAGCATTTTGGATATTTAATTGCAAAATACATTAGGTTCTTAGGGTTGTTGTAACAAATTATCACAAGTTTGGTGACTGTAGAACAACAGAAATTTGTTCTCTCACAACTATGGAGGCCAGAAATCTGAAGTCAATTATCTACAGGACAGCCTTCCCACTGCAGGATCTAAGAGAATCTGTTCCATGCCTTTCTCCTAGCTTCTGGTGGCTTCTGCCAAATCTTGGCATTCCTTGACTTGTCTCTACATCACTCCAATCTCTACCTCAATCTTTCCACTACCTTCTCCTCTCCATGTGTCTCTTATAAAGTTACTTGTCATCATTAGATTTAGGACCAACTTGAATAATAGGATAATCTTATCCCCAAAATCCTTAATTACATCTGCAAAGACTTTTTTTCCCAAATAAGATTACATTCACAGATTCTGAGCATTAGAACATGGACATATTTGGGAGGGCAACTATCACTTAACTTATTACATCTCAAATATATTATTCAAATTATCTGTTTCTTTTTAATTTTTAAATATGTCCACCTAAAAATTAAAATTGCATATCTTTTGAATCATGTTTCTAATGGACATCACTGTGATTGTGGGTTTAAAAACTAATCTTAGCTCTCCAGTCCCAAGAACTCTTCTGATTTCCTTAATTTTAATCATTTTTCATGTGATCCCCCAGAAAACTAACAATGTATTTATATAATATTAAATTAGCACCACTTCTTCATATATATCAACACATTTAATTTCCATAGTTGTGTAAAAATAACTAGACTTTTTAAAATTAAGAACAAAACAAACAACCAACTCCAAAGGTCTTAATGTTTCATTTATTAATGTTCACAGAGTTAGTGTGTGAAGGGCTCAAGATAACTTCGAATTTAGATCTTCTAGTTATTTCTTTTTTTTTTTAATTTTTAATTTTGAAGATGTGGAGTACAATTCAGGGTTAAGTATACAAATGTCCATTATGCAGGTTGGATCTTCTAGTTATTTCTAACATGTTACTTTGTTTAAATAACCCCAGGACATGGTCAGGCACCTTCAGTGATGGAATGTGTGGCGCTCACATACAATGTAAATATCCCGGTCAGAAAACCTCTGTGAGAAGCTTTGGTCATTCTGTTTGTTCTCACCTACTCCTTTAACTCTGCGCACGCTAGACTAGCTAGAACTTCTCAGATTGGAGAACTCTGACACTTAGTTCAGACCTCATTTGGCATTCAGAAATATAGTTGTTGTATTACTATAATCAAATTATCAATGTGCAGACAATTAATTCATCACCTAGAGCTTTATTCAAGTGACTTGCTGTTTTGGCAAAAATATTTCCCAAAAATATTTTTTGTGACCCTTTTCAATCCCTTTTAACCTCTCTTGCCCATCTCCTGACTTCATTTATAAAATTATTAAATAGTGAGATGTCATTTGGTCTTTGGCATCACTAAATATTTGCTGATCAGATGTTCTACATATACTCTATCCAGAATAATTTTTTTTGTTTCTCAAGATGCCTAAAACACTATTAAAATCTTTCAGAATTCCAATCTAGAATTTCCTTTTGTGAAGCCTTTCCTGACCTTGAGCCAGAATTGTTTTCTCCTTCCTCTATGTCGTAGATTACTTAAATCAGTTCTGTTATTAAATGGTATTATAATTATTTATGTAATGTTATCTATCCAATACAAAATAGAACAGATACATATTTATTCATTTTATTCTCAATACTTTTTAATATTATACTCATGCAATAAAGCTTTATTAATACTCATAAAATGCATATATTATTTTTTTCATTTGGTTTTGGTTTTTGGTTTTGTTTTGTTTTGTTTTTGAAACCAGGATTTGTTGAGAGGACAGGAAAACTCCCACAGTGGGAGGGGACCCAAGGAGGCTGCCCATATATATTATTAGTATAATTTTTATCTATAAAGCAAGATGAAGTAAAAAGCAGGAAATAATTGCTTTTTTCTCAGAAACAAATTTTGTATGTGTTTTGAAATGAAATTACTTTAAGCAAATTTTTGAAGTCAATAGGAAATATCCAGGGATGCTATTTTATGCTTTGTATAAAGCAGAGATAGGCCTCTACTGACATTTAACATGCATATCCTTTCTAATGTAGGAGTCAGAAACTGTGCCATTTTTATTGGTACAACGGCATTTGCTATGGGTCCCTGTTCTTAAGAAGATAAAAACAGGAAAGAAAAATGAACATTTGGTAGATATTGGCAATCAAATATAGTCTGACCTATAGTGGCAGTATTTGAAGGCTCTTGAGGTATTTCAGTATTGGAAGAAGGAAGAATAACTTTTTTCAAGGTGTCAGATAAAATTAAATAAGGAGCCCTGTCCTTTTAGACTTATATGTCAAAATCTTGCTTATCTCCTTATAACATCATACTCGTGTAAATTTAAGCTGTCTTAGACTTTGAACCACAAGTTCTGGTTCACCCTATTCAACCCCTAGAGTTAATCCTCCCTTCCACACTCCCTAACCTTCAACACACACAGTCACAAAGGTAAGTAAAAAATATCAGCCCCTGATTTAATACCTTATCAGTTACATTTCTGTAACTAAAAGGAACAAAGTCAGAAATAATCCATTTATTAGATGGATTTGCTTCCTCCAAATTGCCTTGAAGATTTTTTTTTTTTAGTATCATAAAACTGTCTTTTAAACAACCCAGTAAAATCTGCTAGAAAATAGGTATAATAATTTTACTAGAGAACTGAATGTGAGGCATGTGCTTTAACTGGGCCTAAATATTCTTTCCTTAACTGCAGAGACCATGTCAATGCAAGCTTCTTAAAGGCTAAGGTGAATCATGGGCTCCACCCTTACCCCACCTTATTGCAACCTATCAAATATAAATGGATATGTCGTGAAGTTCCTAATATGTATCTTTGAGACTATAAAATATTATTACTCATATGCCTGTAAAAATAACATTAAAACCTCCCTTGAAACAAAAAGTTGGCATTTGTGACCTCAGATAAATTTTTAGTTTGCATTGCTATGAATTACTCCCAATTCTCAAAACTCCTACTACTTTCCTATTTAAAAGACATATGCCTGGCTCAGATTCAAAGACAATGCTTAACAGCTAAAATGTATTTTAATATTCATTCAATACAACATGATAACTAAATGTCATGCATTTTTTAAAGTAATCTTTGTTCCCCTGAGTGAATTTTTTTCATTATTATATGCAATTTCCAAAAATGTTAAAAAATAATTCTAAACGTATTTTCTTTTAGGATCCAGCATTTACTGCTTTATTAACCACCCAAACACAAGTGCAAAGGGAGATTGTAAATAAACACAATGAACTAAGGAAGGAAGTCTCTCCACCAGCCAGCAATATGCTAAAGATGGTAAGAACGGTCACCTAAGGAAAGGGCTGTGAAATACTGTGGAAGGAACTTGCAGCTGATCACTGACATCTCTTAAATTTGTGGTGTCCAATTTCTCTCTCTATTTTGCTATTTTACTTTATCTGTTATATAGACAGGACAATATTTCTTATTTTTGTTTTAAAAATGATTAAATGACTTGCCAAGTTTACAGGGTTATTGAGTTAGGAAGACTGGGAAGTTTGGAAGAATTCAAAGACAATTCTTCTGGCATCCATTATGAAGCCATTACATTTTTTAGTTCACTATATTTTTTAGTGTAAAATCCAGAAAATCTCCTTTCCTTCAGGATCAGTATCATTTATTATAAAGAAAAGCTCACTTCCCAGAGCACAGTCTCTAAAAGCCATGAATTTTCAATATGAAAGTAGTAGGCTACAAATGGAATTGGTATAATCTAGGCCAGTTTATTGCTATTAAATATAATTAGAATACTTTTAACGCTTATCAATATTTAGACTAGAACTATAACTAAAAATCCTAGGTGTGGCTGCCATGCTATCATAAACAGATAATGTTTTAGATATTTTGCTTTTTAGATGCATTACCTGTGGACATCTCTTCATGTGTAAACTGGCACTGGAATAGATAAAGACACATACAAAAGAAACCATAACAAAAAGACATTTCAATAGCAATAATAATTAGATAATGCATCTACAGAAGCTTGAAAGTATCACAAATCAATCCTCAAATCATGTTGTGAAGTATGTTTTATTGTGATTAAATCGTTGTGTTTTATTTTCTTGTGATGTTTAGGAATGGAACAAAGAAGCAACAACAAATGCCCAAAAGTGGGCAAATAAGTGCACTTTAGAACACAGTAATGCAGAGGACCGAAAAACCAGTATGTAAATTAGTTAAATACCTGTTGAATAAGTGAAAAAATAAAATAATAAAAGGCCATTGGAAGATATTGCATGAAGAAGACTTTGAGAATAAATGTTACTTATATTGCTGTTTTTTAAGTCAAAATATCTTCATATAGAAGGATAATTACAATAAGAATTTTTTACTTGTTCATTATTTATATTACGCAAATAATTTATCATGCCGTATCTCACTTGCTGCTCTCAACCAGTTCATAAGTAAAGCAGGCTATGTATCTTTTGTTTTTGTATTTGTTTTTGTAATTTTAAGGATTAGAAAGCCAGGATTTGAAAAGAACATGACTTATCCAAGAACAAAATCTTAAGCGTTATACTAGAAATCCTTAACCAGGCTTTTTGATTTTTAACTTACAGACCTTTTGGGGATATTATGCAACTGTTTGTTGTTTTGAAATCTATTTTTTTGTTGATAAAATATATTGAATTTGTGTTAAATTGTTCCTGAATCTTTGTCTAAAAATTTTAGCCTTTGAAAACATATTAAATCTATAATATTCAAAATTTATATAAAATCAGTTTTTTGAATATTTAACTTATATTTTTGTTTATTGTAACCAAATATTTTGTATGGACTGGGTGCCTGCAATGCATAGATTACTATATTAGACTAAAAAAAATCCACATTGAGGATTATAAAAGTGAGAGAAAAAAACTTATACACATGAACTTTACATAAAATATTTACTTACATTGTCAAGAATAACACACTATATTCAATCCCGATTTGAAAGCAGTGAATAATTTATGAAATGTTTTTAGGTTGTAAGGCACTTCTTGCTTAACTTTTCATTGGGATTGTTGATAACTGCCTATAACGCCTTTTTTTTCAAATTTCACGCAAAATTATATACTTTTTTAGGGTGCTATATGTGAAAAATTTCTAGTGAATACTGCAAGTACAGAGAAAATACAAGAGTTGGTTGCTGTCTTTAGCAATCTTACAATACAAGATTGTAGGATTGTATTGTGTTCTTGTGAAGAATTGAGCATGCAAGTAAATGAATCTTTGACAATTCAAAAGTAGAAACTCAAAGTTTTAATGTTCAGGCCAGACTCAGTGTGTTAGGTGTTCTGTGTTCTAATCAGCTGTGTAGCTGATGAAGGACTGAGACACTCTCCTTATGTATTAGTCAAGAGTTGGCAACCATTGGGCCCTGTAGCATCTTTGCGTTTGTGTGATCAATTTCTTTTACCACTGCATATTTTATGAGCTTTCTCAAGTATGATCTGTTCCTTGTGAGGTACAAAGTGTGGTGAGAATCTCTATATGTCAAGTGATCCTACTTCCTGGTCAGATGCAATCCAAAGCTGGTATGATGAGAGCCTAGATTTTACCTATGGTGTAGGACCAAAGAGTTCCAGTGCAGTCGTTGGACATTATACTCAGGTAAGAGGAAGGGATGAAAATATCTCTGAGATAGATGCTCCAATATAAAAAACTTCTCCAAATGATGACCAAGTTCAATGTTTAATTTAGGGGAACAACCTGATAGGTATAATACAGTCTTGACATTTGACTGTATTTCATCTAAAGCTGTCATTTTAGTCCAAGGTCTGCCAACCTCTTGGTAGGAAAGCATACTCTCTATTGATACTACATCTCTATTGATACTACATTATAAAGGATAGAGTGATTAATGTACATGAGCATTTACTATTTTAAAAGTTTATTACTTTTGATTCAGCAATTTATTTTATAAGGTATAAGGTTGCAGACTACAACAGTAACCTTTTTCAGTTTTATATTTGCTACTATTTGTTTTTAAATATTTTTTCCTCTTCTCTAATGTGCTCTCATATTTTTATTCCCTTATGGACTTGTAGCTTGTGTGGTACTCATCTTATCGTGTTGGATGTGGAATTGCCTACTGTCCCAATCAAGAAAGTCTAAAATACTACTATGTTTGCCAATATTGTCCTGCGTAAGTATACTCTAGAGTTTAATGGCAATAACTCCACTTGAAAATATTGTTTTAAAATCTCGTATCTTAAACCAGATTAAAAGATATGTTTCAGAAAAGGAGTGAAATAAACGTTTTGGAATTTATTAAGATTGAGACATTTTCAGCTTCTCGGAGAGAAGACCAACTTCTCAGTTCCAAGTATAAGAGCTGAAGTTCTCACATCTTATTTATAAAATGATGTCTTTCTCTCAGTTGGCATTTCCTCAGCTCAGGGTCACTCCACGAGCATGTATAATATGTATTTATCTAGATTTAGTATCATCAGTTCTTGCTAATTTCAAACTCTAGCAGTGTAGGTGTTTTATAGTTAAGCAAGGGATGCTGGTGAGATTGTAAATATAGGAAAATATACTGCAATTTTGCCCCTTTTTGCTCAAATATACTTACTCCTGCTTGTACGCGCGCGCAACACACACACACAATTACCATTACAAATGATTTATTCATTTGCATCTCAATGGCTTTTCAAGAGACCTTTTATATATTTTAGAACACAGAAAAGTACCATCTTAAATCTATGCTCTTTGGAATTTTTGACAGAAAACTCCATAACCATATTGTAAGGTCTTGACTTGTAGCAGGAAACATGACCTTTCATCAAATAATATGTTAACTATAATCTACAAAAAATTGCTTGGATATATTGATGATACCACAGCCTATCTGTTCTAATTTTTTTAATGTTTAAAATTCTTTACCACAGAGGTCAGAGGGTGAACCCGGGGGCTTTCATAACCAAGCCTCCTACAGTATTTGTTTTTATGCTGTAGGTAACTCAGGTGATATAGCATTTCAGTTTGAGAAATATGATCTCCAAAAACATTTTCCTTGAAGCACATACTTAAGTCGAGAGAATTGAAAGGCCTTAGGAGAATGTATCCAAACTCATTATCCAGCCTTCAGAATAGAAGCATCTGTAGCAAGATATCAGAAGTGACAGTTAGAGTAAATCATAAGGGAAAGCAGGGAAGATAGAACTTCCAGAATACTATATCTGTTTTATGTTTTTTTCCAAGTGTTTGCACATACTCAGCTACAACTGTGCAGGGAGGCTGAGATTTAGCCACATTGCTTTAAGCCCTTGCCCCACTTGGTACTATTGAGATTTGAACTTCCATATATTTTTAAATAAATTGTGTGAACAGCAGAATAATGATAAGAAGTGAGTCATAGGTTAATCATTGTATACCCAGGATATTAGTATTTATTAAAAAAATTTTTTAAACTAACATTCCTTTTTTTGGTAAACATCTTATACATGCTACCTCTAGAAACTCATAAACCTTCCTCAGCACAGCCTCCCAAACACATGCACTGACTACACTAACTACTTAAGCATTTCTACCTTCATCTAAAAGAATAATCATTTGCTGGAGCCATATATTTTTGTAGTTCTTATTAGAAAAATTATGAATTTTTATCTTTCAAATATTAAATTATGTTATAATATTGAGTATTTATTTCCCTGTTGCAATCTACTGACCCCAGGATCATCATCTTTGTCTTTAGAGGATATGTTTTACCCCTAACCAGCATGCTTGGGGTGTACTGTACTATCGATTTGACTGGGACTACTGGGAGATGAAGAAGGTGCTGCCATATTGCAATATACTCTAAAAACTTTAAACTCTAACTATCCCATTTCAGTTGTTCAGCCTGTGGAATTATGGTCAAGGAGGTGGTCAATGTGTGCAGCATTTTCTTAATTTGAATTATCTGAATTACACACTGGGAATTACAGTTTTTTCTGGTTTTGTTGACATACAACAAGCACTGCATAACTATGTATATTTGACTACTGATGCCTCTCTTAGAGCATAAACTAAACAGAAAAGTGAAAAATATTTGACATTGTTTATTTCAAATTTCAGAGGCAATAATGTGAATAAAAAGAATACTCCTTATCAACAAGGAACACCTTGTTCCAGTTGCCCTGGTAACTGTGACAAAGGACTATGTAGTAAGTTTCAAGTGATTAATTTGCTATTATAAGAACTGATATTTTCTTTTTTAAAAAAATAATTTAAGATATCCTTTAAAGTAACTAATTTAGATCATGTATTTATAGAAAAGTAAAATAAAAGCACTCAACAAAGTATATTTAAGTAAATATTTTATGCACTGCAGTAACCTATATATTATTTGTAATAAAAAGAATATTACCATATGTAATAATGGACCATCTAATATCAATGTGTTTTTATGACCATGTAGAGCCAGTTAATATCAACTATACACCTTTCTGGTAAACGGTACATTTTATCAGAGCTTAATATCACTATATCAAAAGTATTTTAAAGGAATCAAAATGTATAAAACTAAGGTGTGAGATCACATTATGGTTCAGTCTACACAGTTACAACAAATATTACTGTTTATCTGTGCTAATGAGTTTATCATTGATAATTTCTTCACTTCTTTTCTACAGTGTTGCTAGGATCATGGTGTTTGCCTCAATCAATGATCTTTGCCCTATTTTAATAGTTTGTGCACATATTGATGACAAAATCCAATCTATATGTCATATTGGCCCACAGAAACCACAAACATATCTTTGCAAAAGAATAATATAAAATAAATATATCTGATTTTAAACATTGTCATAAATAGAAGTAAAAATATTTGGCTTTTTATAGTTGGAATACATCTATTAAAATCATTATGAATGATTTAAATGCATTTATCTTTCATTAACATTTTTTCCAAGTCAATTATATAGCTATAAATAAGAATATTAATGACAATAAAGCTACATATCAACTAAAAACAAAAAAGTTGAATATTTATACATCTGCTGAATGCTAGGAAGTTTGGAATTCATTCTATTAGCAATGCGCATTCAATTGAAATACTTTAAACAAAAGAGTGACAAGATGAGAGTCATATTTTATAAAGAACTATTTAGCTATAGTATGCAGAAATGATCAAATAGAAGCCAGCTATAAAACTGCTAAAAGCAAATTTTACTTAAAAAATTGATTAAAGAAGAGCAAGATAGCAAAATAAGACCCTTCCATGATCATCCCTCATGGAAATATCCATTTGAACACCTATTCGCACAAGAAAAATACTTTCACAAGAGCTAAGAACACAAGATGATAGGTCGCAGTACTGTTTTAACCTAATAATAAGAAAAGAAGCATTGAAGGGGATAGGAAGGACAATCTCATAATGGTTATACTACCCCTTCCCCCAGTCCAGGGAGCACGGAGAGACATTGTTCACTTGGGGGAGAGAGAAGGATATGTATGTGGGACTTTGCCTTGTAATCCAGTGTGGATCCTTCATAATAAAGCACAGCATTAGGCAAAATCTGCAGCCCCTGATTTCAGGATAGAACCCATGGAGAACATTTCTAGATCCACCTCAGCAGTAGAAGGAAGTCTGCTATCTTGGTAGAACAGACTTGAGTCCCAGCCCACATCACCACCAACCAACTGGAGTAACCTTCAACTGTGAATAAATGTCAGCAGGAGGTAGGCATAGCAACTTCTGGCCTCAGGTGCACTGGTCTGGGAAGCTGTGGGTTTCAGGTTACTCAGCATGGTGTTAATTGTTGCAACCATGGGATTACCTGCATCATCCCTCGCCTAAGCCCCAGGCAACACAGTATGATGAACAACATTGTTCACTTGTGAAAAAGAGAGGGAAGTATGTGGGAGACTTTGCCTTGGAATCCAGTACTGAGCCTACTACAACAAAACACAACACCAGGATGAAACCCAGTCTCTGAATTCAGACTAGTACACATAGTTGGAGACTCTACATCTGCCCCAGCAGCAGAAGAAAATTCATTGCCCCAGTGAGACAGATTCAAGTTGCAGCCTGCATCACCACTGACTGACTAAAATGGCCTTGAGTCTCAAATAAATATTAGTGACAGGCAGACCATGGTGTGGGTTTTAGGCAGAACATAACACTGTGTTGGTCTGGGAGGCCATGGGCTTCTGATGCAACAAAGCATAGCATTAGCTGTGGAAGATAGCTGTCACCCGTCTCCTAACCATACCACTCTTCTATCCAAGATCACAGTAAACTTGGGTTTAGGGCACTCTCTAGAGCTGAGACTTCAGTCTTAGGAACCCCAATGGTCAGTCTTCCTCAGATTCTTAGAAGGCTGTCTAAAGAAGAATAGGTACAAAGTAGCTCAGAATGTGAAGAATGGAATACCTAATTCTTTAATGCCTAGATATTGAGATGCATCCATAAGCCTTGAAAACATTCAGAAAAATATGATGTACCAAATGACCTAAATAAGATACTAGTGACCAAACCTGGAAAGATGTAAATGTGTGATCTCTAAGGCAGGGAATTCAAAATAGCTGTATTGAGGAACTCAACAAATGTCAGTAAGACACAGAGAAACAATTTAGAAATTTATCAAAGAAATTTTTTTAAAAGATTGAAATAATTTTTTTCAAAAAATCAAACATAAATTCTGAAGCTGAAAAATACAAATTAAAAAACTGAAAAATACATTAAAGGATCTAAATAGCATATTGATGAAACTGAAGTATCAGTGAGGTTGAAGACAGGGTTTGTGATAATACACAGAGGAGAAAAAAAGAACAAAAAAATGAAGAAAACTTATGAAATCTATAAGCATCGAAAGAGCAAATGAACGAATCATTGACATTCAAGAATGAGCAGAGAATAAGAAAGCTTACTCAAAGAAACAATAAATCAAACATTCTAAGTCTGGAGAAAATATAAATCTAAAATATAGAGAAAAATATAAATTAGTACAGAAAAGTCAAAAGCCACCAATCAGATTCATTTCAAATAAGAGTACCCTAAAGCATATAATAATCAAACTTTCAAAAATCAAAAATGAAGACAGTATCCTGAAAACATCATGAGAAAAGAAGCAAATAACATGTAAAGAGGTTTAAATACATTTGACAACAGACTTCTCAGTGGAAAACTTACAGGTCAGAATGAAGTAGAGTAACATATTAAAGGGCTAAACAAACAAACAAAAACATGACAAGAGTATTGTATCCAGCAAAGTTATCCTTCAGACATGAAGGAAAGATACAGACTTACTCAAACAAAAACTGAGGAAATTCTACACCACAAGACATATCTTATAAAGAAATGCTGATGAGAGTTCTTTAGTCAAAATAAACCAATACTAAACTGTAACAAGAAAATATCTGTCACTATAAAACTCACTAGTAAAAATAAGTATACAGATAAATTTAAAGTACTCTGATACAACAATTGTGTTGTAAACCACTCATATCTTTAGTATAAAGACTAAAATATGACACTAGTAAAAATAATAATTACAACAATTTGATAAGAGAACAGGCAATAGAAAAATATGAAAACAGACATCCAAAAATCAAAATATTGTTCAAGGAAACGGAGTTAAAGTGTAGAACTTTTTTTTGTTTTGTGTGTGTGTATGTGTGTGTGTGTGTGTTAGTGTGTGTGTGAGTGATCAAAGTTGAAGTCATCATCAGTTTAAAATAACTTGATAATGGGGTAAGATTTTTTGTAAGCCTCATGGTAACCACAAAGCAAAACTGTTTCTTTCTTTATTTTAAAGATGTAGGGTACAATTCAGGATTAGGTATACAAATGTTCATTATTCAGTTACCCTTGTTGATGATGTGTACCCCGCCCTCCCCTGGTGGTTTCCCTCAGCTGCCAATCCCACTACTGCTAATCTGTTTCTTATAGTATTATGATAATTGTTCAAGGTCCGCTTATGAGTTAGAACATATGGTACTCTGTTGTTTCTGTGATAGTTTTAACTGAGTATGTTAAAAAATAAAAATAAAAAGCAACGAATGAAAGTCTACTACCAGAAAATAATCACTTAACCACAAAGGAAAGCAGAAAGAGATAAGGAAGGGGGAAAATGACAAAAGAACAAGTAGCAAAATGGCAGTAGTAAGTTTTTCCTATTCATAATAACTCTGAGGGTAAATGGACTAAATTTTTCAACTAAAAAACATAGAGTAGATAAATGAATAAAAAAAGATTCAATTGTATGCTGCCTACAAGAATCTTACTTCATCTGTAAAGACATACATAGACTGAAAGTAAAAAGATGGAGAAAGAAATTCCATGCAAATGAAAACCCAAAAAGAAAAAATCAGAAGTAGCTATATTTAGTTCAGATAAAATAGACTTTAAGTGAAAAAAGTTGTAAAGAAAGACACAAAGGAGGCCATTATGTAATGACAAAGAATTCACTGCAACAGGAGGAAATAATAATTATAATTACTTGCACCCAACACTGGATCTCCCAGAAATATAACATAACTATTTATAGACTTAAAGGAAGAAATGGACAACAATTTAATAATAGTAGGAAGCCTCAATATCTTACTTTTGGCAGTGGACAGACCATTCAGACAGAAAATTAACAAAGAAATATTAGAATTTAACTACTATCTAACAGCTGCATAATACACATTCCTGCATCAGTACATAGAACATTCTGTAGAAAGACCATGCTAGGCCTCAAAACAAGTCTTACAATTTTTTTTAATTGAAATTTTATCAATATCTTATTTCTGACCACAATAGGATAAAACTAGAAGTCAATAACTAGAGGAACTTTGAAAGCAGTACAAATAGATGTGCTCTTGAATGGCCAATAACTCAATAAAGAAATTAAAAAGGAAATTTAAACAGAAACATGACATACCAAAAACTGTGGAATACAGCAAAAGCACTCCCAAGAGGGAAATTTCATAGGAAGAAACTCCTACAACAAAACTGTAGAAAGTTTTCAAATAAACAATCTATTTGCACCTCAAAGAACTAGAAAGGCAAGAACAAACCAAACTCAAAATTAGTAGAAGAAAAGAAAATGAACAAAATACCTGAATAGATATTTCTCAAAAGACAACAACAAATGGCCAACCTGAATATGAAAAAATGTCCAGCATCCCTAATCATCAGAAAAAGGCAAATAAAAACTGCAATGCGATTTCATCTCAACCTGGTTAGAATGACTAGTATCAGAAAGACAAAATATCAAATGCTTGTGAGAATGCAAAGAACGGAAAACTCTTATATGTTGTTGCTGAGATTGGAAATTAGTATGGTCATTATGTGAAACAGTATGGAATTTCCTCAAAAAACTAAATATGAAACTACCATCTGATCCCTCAAACCCACTACTAGATACATATGCAAAGGAAAGGAAATCCGTGTGCTGAAGAGATATCTCCACTCCTACAAAATACCACATGATTTTAGTCATAGGTGGAATCTAAAAAAGTTAATTTAATAAAAGTATCAAGTATAATAGTGATTACCAGTGACTGTGGAGAGTTAGATGAGTGAAGATGAAGGATGAGGAGATGTTGGTTAGTTAGTACAAAGTAAGAAAAAGAAAAATAAGTTCTGATATTCTATGACAAAACAGGACTTTAGATAATAATTATATGATTAAAGATAGCTAGAAGAGAGGATTTTGAATATTGTCACCGCACAGAAACAATAAGTGTTTAAAGTGATAGATGTGCTAATTACCCTGATTAGATCATTGCACAATGTATACATGTATTGAGCCACCACACTGTACTCCAAAAATATGTGCAATTATTATGTGTCACCTGTAAATAGAAAACTTTTTAAGAAGTGTGTCCTTACTACAGTAGTGGCAAAATAAATGACAAAAAATGGACAGATTTGAGAGACAGAAAGTGGAATAGTCAATGTTTGTAACCTCTGCTGCGTAAGTGCTGGTCAAAAGAGAGAAAAACCTGAATGCCTTTGTTCAGGTTGACTCCACTCTCTGGCTTAATTTAATGGCTTAATGCTGAGTAGTCGGCATTTCAGTTCCCTGAGTTTGAGGAAGCAATGCAGGGAGATTATACCTGAGAATTGTCCGCCTTGTGGCTAGTATAATGAGTTTGTTTGAGATTTATTGACCTTGGGGCCCTCAAGGGACATCCAAATAGAAACATCAAAAGGAAGGATAATAGTGCCCTTGTTTTACATCTGTTTCCACCAATAAGGATCATTTTTTCCAGATTTAAAAAAAAAAAGCACAACTAAGACACCTCATATGTCCCTTAAGACATGAATGGTCATCATAGTGTAAGAGATGCTAATCTGTTTGTCCACTCCTGTCCCCTCCCCATGAACTTTGAATGTATGGTTTTGCTCCCACTAAGAAAAAATGCTAATGAAGTAACCAATCTGTTTTTATTACAGCCAATAGTTGTGAGTATGAAGATCTTCTTAGTAACTGTGAGTCCTTGAAGAAAACAGCTGGCTGCGAGCATGAATTGCTCCAGGAAAAGTGCAAGGCTACTTGCTTCTGTGAAAACAAAATTTACTAACATGCCTAGTGTGCACTGTGCAGGACTATGTAAAGAAAACCTGAGTCATTACTTGACATACACCAGAGGAAAATTATAGGGAAAGTTAGGTACAAATTTGATTCCAAACAGCAAGGCATCCTTCCAGATCTTTTCAGAAATCTCTTTCATACAATGATTTACCAAAGTAGCCTAGTCTATGATGATAACTTTGGACTTTGACATACATTTGGTGCTTTAAATTCAATGAACTGAATCAAGTTGAAGATTCTGAAAATTGTATAACCACAGGATTTAGGTCACTAGAAATTGGATCAAAGGGGGCAAACTACATGTTTCCTGAAACAACATGCTAAAAAAGAAAAGGCTAGCATCATTGTCATCTCCACTACATGATCTTTTGCCTGAGTAAAGAATGAATTCAAAGCTTGGCACCTACATTTGTTTCATGGGCTTTCTTTTAAAGAAAAGTAATCAACTCTCAGAATAAAGAACTTATAAAAGCAGCCAATTTGATTTTTATGCAATATTTTATAGCATTCATAATTAACACCAGCTAGACTCAGACTGGATAAATGATAATACAGAGCAAAATTTTCAAAATAGTTGCTTATAAAAGTAAATTTTAACCAAAAAGAAATCAGTTCTATTACTTTTTTTCCTTTTTGACATTTTGACTTCTTCCCTGTTTGTTTAGTTGATTTAAAAACAAAAACAAAGCCAAAAAAGTGGTCATAATTCAATGGAATACATAAATGTAGCTTTCTAAGAAAACAAATGAAGAAATAAATCCGTTTTAGAGAGATTAACTATTTTATGCCCTTACATACATTTTCAATTAAGATTGATAACAAGAGGATGAAGTAGTTCCATTTTACAGATGAGAACACATGAAAATTCTAAACACACACACACACACAAACACACACACACACACACACACACACACACACACAATATCTAGTGAAAAGGTAACCGGGCATGATGGTTTACGCCTGTAATCCAAGCACTTTGGGAGGCAGAGGCAAGAGGATTACCTGAGTCCAGGAGTTCCAGACCAACCTGGCGAGACCTCTTCTCTACAATAAATCAAAAACTTAGCCAGGTATGGTGGCACTCGCATGTAGTCCCAGCTATTTGGAAGGTTGAGGTGGAAGGATCACCTGAGCCCAGCCAGTAGAGGCTGCGGTGGTCATGAGCAAGCCACTGCCCTCCAATCTGGGCAACAGAGTGAGACTTCTATTCAAAAAAAAAGTGAAAAGTCTATTGAAAGTCAAAAAGTAGATCTGACCAGGCAGATGGTGAAATGAAATGAGCTACTGGTGCCTCCAAGATTAAGCAGATTATCTGAGTCATCCTATAACCATTAAAGAAATTAAATTTATAATCTTAAAGCTTCCAAAAAGCAAATTTCTAGGTCCAGATGGTATTACTGCATCAATCTGTCAAATACTTAAAGAATAGTTACGTTGCAATTTTATACAATCTCTTCTAGAAAATTGAATGGGAATAAATAATGCTCAATGCAGTCTCTGGCACTAGTATTATCCTAATACTAAAGCTAAAGACATTTCTAGAGAAAAAAAAAAAAATAGAAGAACCTGAAGTTATTATGAACACAGATGACAATTTTTTAAAAAAGCATTTAGCAAATTATTCAGCAATACAGTAAAAAATATATATATATACCCTGAACAAGACTTGGAACAAATTACTGGAATAAACCAAAAATTAAACTCTATTATCTAATGATAAATCACCTGTTATGAGTACATTAATTGTATACTAAGCTCCCTATGAATTTCTTTGGAAATTGATTCTTCCACAAGAATGGCATTTCTTGATCTTAACCTTAATAATTCAATTGTCTCTTAAACAGTATTTTGAAATATTTAACTCTATTTCAGGGAAGAAAAAAGAATATTTTGTGGCCTCAAGAGCATATTGGCACAGGGACAATGTGTGAGAGAAGCATACACAATATTCTGCTTGGGTGGTTTTTATATGAAGGGCATTCCATTTTTGTGGTGGCCTTTGAAAGATTCTAAATGCAGAGCTTTCTTTTGAATTCTGTCTTATGATTATAGTTACCTTTGTGGGTGGAAGATCTAATCTGGTCCTTCTCAGAAATGACTGAAAACTAACCTTTACAAATGCGTTTTGACATTAGGAAAACTTCTGCTATTCCTTATGGCCTTCTTTTTTTTTTTTTTTTTTTGAGTTGGAGTCTCGCTCTGTCGCCCAGACTGGAGTGCAGTGGCCGCTTCCGGCCACTGCAGCCTCGACCTGCTGGGCTCCGGCGATCCTTCCGCCTCAGCCTCCCAAGTAGCCGGAATTACAGGCATGCGCTACCACTCCCGGCTGATTTTTTTTTTTTATTTATTGTAGAGATGAGGTCTCGCTGCCCAGGCGGGTCTCCCAAAGGCGCGGGATTACAGGCTGAGTCACTAAGCCCGGCTCCTTATGGCCTTCTTAAATTTCATCCAATTCTAGTGGTTGGTAAAAAAAAATCAAAAATACAATCCCCCTTATTGGAAACCTTAAACTATAATTGCTAATTAACAATTAAAATTCATTTTTTTCCCACTAAACTGAACAGTTGTTTCAGTAGTATTTTTTCTTATATAATTTGATTTGTATTATTAAGTTTGTCTCATTCTATAATAACTGTGGTAAATTCTGAGAAACTGTATAGCTATCCAATTTTTCAAAATGTTGATTATAATGAATTTATTATTTTTTAACAAAAGAAATCTGAATCTAAACTGGAATATCTTCAGAAGGAGCCTACTGCCAGCATTAGTCCATAATTGCACAGCATTCCAAAAAATCAAGCATTTGACTTTATAGACTTTGCTAAATCTTTTCAAAAATGAACATTTCCAGTAGATATTATAATTACTCAAGTTCTTCCTTAATTTGATCATATATTAACTATTCATAGGTATATGTCCTTCTACATCCATGCACCCACAACTTATTTATTTCTGACATTTGATTGTTCCTCAGTTAGGCTATTTTCATACTTCCTTGATTTTTTTTTTATTTTGGATTTTCTTTATCTGGTCAGTCAAATGTTTTAACTCTGTTCAATATTTCATGTAATGTAACTCCTTCCTCTTGAATCACACAGGGCCTGTTTTAACTTCCTTTATGTGAAAATCTTCTTTCTCCATTAAATATTAAATTCCCTCAAACAAGACCCATGACTATTCCTGTGGCTTACAGTGCATATATAGCATTGTGCACATTTAGTAGGCCATTGTTCAATATTTACTGTATAAATGCAGATATCTTTATAATTAATTTTGTTCTCGACCTGGTATTAAATGGGAGACAAGATACCCAAGAGTTGGCAGTAGTGGGAAGCTGCCAGGGGAGGGAGGGTAGGATTGACAGTTGAGGGAAACTGCCAGGGGAGGGAGGGGGGCGCACCTCATCAACAAAGACACCTGCATAAAGAACAATTGTATACATAACCCTGAATTGAGTCCCACATCTTTAAAATAAAAAAAAAGATACCCAAGAATATCTTAGGTAAATAATATTCAGAATGACTTATTTGATAAGCAAACTATAAAATCCTATGTTCCCAAATGCAAATTATATTTAAATAGTATTTATTTCAAAGGAGCAGATATGAAAATTTCAAGGGTCAAAAATGCTCTCGTAGGCAGCTGAGAATTTTTCTTTTATGTTTTGTTTTCTACTTTAAACATATCCTCACGCTATCCACTAACTTGGTTTCTTTATAGAAGGGTTGATACAGATGAGGGTGAATGTATCACTTTTTTGTTAAGGAAGTGGGGGAGTCTGATTAGAAGTTAGTTATATTAACCCATGCTGTATAAGAATATAGCATTTATTCAGTGTATACTTTTTCTCAAATAACATTTGATAATATTTTAATGTTTCTTCATATAGATTTTAATTTATTTTATAAGATATACTTTAATAACTAAAAAGCTACTGATATTATTTTAAAAATAAATTACTTTTATACCTATCTTGCTTCTAGTCTCGTTTAATATATAATTGGTTTTAGTAATATCTTGAATTATTTAGTCTGTCATTTAAAATACTGCTTGACACATAGTGATTAATAAGCAATGTTATTAATTATAATAATAACACTATAGTTAGTGGTATAACTATAATTTATAATCCAGTACTGTGCTATATTCTAATAAAAAAGATTAATAATTGTGGGTATTTCCATAGCATTAAAAGACATATAAGCAAGGATAATAATAAGTAATTATACTCCAATATGATAAATAGCACACTAGAGGTACATATTAATTATAGTAGCACTCCAAGAATGGAAGTGTTTTATGTCTGTTATATTTGATCTTAAATATTCTAACATAATCAGGATGATCTAAAATATGTGTTGGTTTTAAACTACACTTTGAAAACAGTAATTTTCTTTCATCAGAAATTCATAAACCAGAGTATACAGCTAGTATTTACTCAGAGCAAGTTATAGAGGTAATTGCTAGAAATATATAAACTACCAATACCTTAATTACTACAAAGGCCTTCATTACCAAAAATAATAAAACTAAAAAATGGATTTTGTGTAAAAGTAATGGCATGTTAATCATTTTAGAAATGAACTCTCAGTCTTGAAATTAATGGTATTCAAACTATTTTAAAAAATCAACCTTTATTCATGAGTTAACACTCACATGGTAAGATCTTTTTTCAGAATACTTTCTCATCACAATATAACAGCTTTATGACTTGTCTCTTCAAAGCCCAAGTAGTTAACAGCCAGGTTGCTAATAAATTCTTGGTGAATCACTTATGGCAGATAATGGTTTAATGCATTTTCCTAATAGAAAAAAATCAACAGGAGCCTCCTATGGATTCCATTTTTGCTTAAATTATATTCTTTTGTAATCATAGAATTTCAACCATAACACTAGGCTAGTAATGGTAATATTTTGAGACATGGTGAGCTCATATTTATACCATCCACCTAAACACGCCCAAGCTATTAACAATATCTCTTCTCAACATCCTTATCTTAGCTGGTCTGAGTGCAATTGTGTTTACAACTAATCGACCACAACCAATTACAGATTTCTGTATTCCTTCTCCTCTCTCATTGTTTCACTTGACTTAGACTTACAAAAAGAAA